CCTCTCTCTTTCTCCCTTTCTCTACTCCCTCCCAGACCCCCCCTCCCCTTTCTCCACACATACACCATGCCTTTTCTTCCTGTATGTGATGTCCACATCCCTGAACACCAGAATGTCGTATGTCCAGCCACTGCAGTCTGTGACCCGCCGAGGATGCAAATCTATCTATTAACTTAGTCACAACTACCATCTACCGTAAAAATACACTTCTCTAAAAATATTTTCTCATTTCTCCCCCTTTCGTGCTACCTAACGATGGTCTGTCGTCTGCTTTCGTCTCCACTTTCTTCCCCAACCCCCTCACCTCCTTTACCCCCTCCCCTGGGCTCCTGACTCTTCCTGCAGCCTTTCTACTGCTACTCCTCGGCCCCTTTTTACTGCCGTCTTTCAGCCACACCCCTGATCTTATAGTATGTAATAGTTAACACCTAGCCTTCTTGGATAAGGGCAAAAAAATCTCGGAGGGTCCGAGTGCAAGTTGCGCACGTTAAAGGTCTCTTAGCGATCCAAAATCGACAAGAGTAAGTTTCGGCCGCCCCTCGGGCAAAATTTAAAACTTCCTACCAACTGAAAAGTGTTCAATGTGTCCCACGCGTGCACATAATGGCCTGATGAAGATGCGAGATCGAGTAGTTAGTCACATAACCAGAAACAGAACTGACAGGGCTATCTATGTAGCCATTCCAAGATGGCACCAGTCGCCATGTTGGACGATAGGATGATACAACAGCTTTAGGTTTTGGTAGGAGTTTTAAAGCACTGGCAACACAATTTAGTCATGTATGTGCTGAAGATAAGATGTGCTACTTGAGACCAGCGGGCTGAGAGAATTACTTCTACCAGCAGAAAAACTGAGACACTCGATGGAAAAATTTCCCCCACCTGAGAATCGAACTTGTAACTCCTGTGTCGTATTTAAGGACAAGCTGGCTAACCCAGATCTTCGGGGTTTCCAGAAATCTTGACCCGCACCAACAGTGGGCATTGCCATGCCTATAAGAGAAGTTTGGTTTCATTGGTGCGTACGTTTGGCTATAAATAGAGAAAACTCTCCTTGTCTTTCAAAGAAACTGAACAAGGGGCAAAACTTTACCTTTGATTTTCTCAAAACAGCATTTTTCGGGACAGCCCCCTTGTACTTAAGAGCGACCATATATCAGTAACATTATCAGAAAAGAGTTATGGGTCTTTCGATTAGACTCCATCGCAGTCATTGCACTCTGTCTTTTCTCACACGTCTGTGGCCTCTGCTTGTCTATGTGTGAGCAAGCGTGCATGCATGCGTGCTCTCGGTATGTTTGCACGTGTGTTTGTGTGTGTGTGTGTGTCCGTGTGTGTGTATGTGTGTGTGTGTAAGAGAGAGAGAGAGAGAGAGAGAGAGAGAGAAAAA